GCTGCGAGATTCTTCTGGCTTTAAGACCAGTAACAGGGAATGAGGTTGGCATTTTCTGCCAGGGACCAAGGTTTTGAAAAGCGAAGCATGGGCTGCTTGTTTAGAAGAGTTCAGATGTGTTCCAGGGCAAGCCACGACAAATACAGGAAGGATAGCTTCGCTCATGCGATTATGAATACGTTCTTCTTGTGCAGCTTGTGCAATGCTACAGTGATTGTTGCTAAGACTGCGAGACCATCTCGAACCCTTAGATCCCGGACTTCCCATTTCACAAGTTGCTGCGAGGTGACGCTGTTCTTTTTTCACGTGAAACAGACGTTCAATAGCCTCCTCTCTTGCTGGTTCAGTGTTTTGCACGGGTTGTTATATTTGCCTCCCTCCCCCCACCTGGTGCCCAAGACACGCCGAGGTTCAGATCTTGCGTCCAGGTTCCCCCGCAAAGCCCCGAACCCGTAACCTCTGGCACCGTAGTGGTTGTTTTGGCCTTCGAGTTGGGGGTGGGTTAGGGGTGAGGGAATAGTTTTCATGAATATACAACTTACGTACACTTCACACCGACACAAACACATACCTACATTGTTACATACTTGTGTACGTACGCGCGGACATACATAACACACATTACACACAAACAAGTAAACGAACAAACAATCAATGCAAAAAAATCAATCAAGCAAACAAACAAACAAGCAAGCAAGCAAAGAAGCAAACAAACAAACAAACAAACAAACAAACAAGCAAACAAACACACAAACACGCAAACGGTACACACACACACATACATGCATACATGCATACATGCATGCATTCATGCATACGTACATACACATATGTAACATGCACACATATACATAGACAAGTACATACCTACCTACCTACCTACCTACCTACCTACATACATACATACATACAATTTATAATTTTATGCATTCATACATTGGCACATTCATCATTGACACATTTGCATGTACGTACATACACACATACATAAATACATAGATGAAAACATGTGTATTTATATACTGGCGTTTGTTTGTCATCGTTTAACCACGGGGTCAACCAAAACTAAGGGGTATCCAGGATGTCACGTAACGTAACGTACCAGAGCGCAATGTCATGCAGCGTGATGCAATGTAATTTGTCATGTCGTGCAATGCACCATGCAATGTAATGTTATGTAATGTAATAAATTGTAGTGAAATGTACTGGAATGACGCGCAACATAAGGTAATGTATGTCTGTCTATCTGTCGCGAAGGGGGGAAGTGCCTGGCTAACTCATGCCGATCTAATCGCAGAAAGGTTTTTCTGAGCCCATGAGAAGGCTCAAAACCGTTGCGTACATAAATAGGTATATACACACAGACTGACAGTCACACATGCGTTCAGACATGCACGCATGCGTGCGTGCAGGAGCACGCGCCCATAGGCATACATTGCCAGCACGCCCTTTTGTTGGCGGATGCACATTAGCCTCCTGCAGGCTAAAATGAGCTTCGCACAAGCTAAGTTTCCTGCAGACGAGAGGCTTTCCTCAGACCAAAGTGCTTCCTGGAAGCTGAAACGAGTTTCACGTAGGCCAAACTTAGCTTCCTCTAGACTAAGCTCATGGCATGCTACATGCTGGCTTCCCGTTTGCCAAAGTTAGCTTCGTGTAGGCTAAAACGAGCTCCCTGCAGGCTAAAATTAGTTTTTCCACATGCCTAAATCTGCTCCTCGCAGGCTAACATTGCCTGTAGTCTGGACTGGGCTGGACTGGCCCGCCGAACCTAGGAACCACGCTGTTTGCACAAGGTTTGCCGAGGCATGAGCAGAGAGGAAATATAGTTGGGTTTACAGACAAGATGTCGCAACATGCAACACACAATCCACACTTGTCACCTGAGTTCGGACACGGTATTGTGTTGTTGGGTGTTGCATGTGTGAATGCTGCTGCCCATTCGCATGTTTTCTTGGTGTAAGGTAGCGACGAGGGGAGAGTGATCGGGCCGCGGTCCAGCAGCACCAGAAAAGCATCGCACACTCCACATGGGAATTGGTGATGTACACCCGTGCACATCTGGAAATCATGCACCGCCATTTTTAGTCATGCAGCAGAACACCTGCTGGTCACCTGTGCGTGACTTAATGACTCGTAGCGAATGTCTAAGACAAAGCTAACACCTTTAGTTCCAGCCTTTTGGATCCGATTCGGTTTCACCCGGGGATCCATGGGACAGGTGCCTCATGGAGTCCCTCACTACTGGGCCCCCCTTGAATAGTAGGCAATGGGGTTCTAATGAATATGTTTGAAAGCAGATGTGTGAATTGTAAACGCTTCGCGTTGCCCGCCTCGGCCCAGCCCGAATCCTACTGAAAGCTTGTGACCGCACCAGTTCGCCCGTGCAAGTTCGATGTTCGGAAGCCGTCCTGCTCGGAAGGTTTGAAATCCAAAACCAAGACTATCTCAGCTGCTCAGCGCCCTTGGAAAAAAAAGGACCTCTTTCTGGGGATGAGCATTTTTAGTGGGGCTTGGCCTCCATAAAAAGGGGAACAATAATTGGTGTCACTGAACAACCAAGACCAACTTTGGGTGTTTGGGCACCTCCATTTCACGTGGCTGGCGGCTTGCCATGACATACATTTCTTGCTCGGTTGCTCAGCCCAAGACAGGTACATGGTGGGAATACAAACCTCCATTTGCTTAAGTACCCCGGAAAAATATCCCCAATTGGGCTGGGCCTTGAGGCCAGTCGCAGACACGTAAGACACGCCAGCAGGCGGGCTGAGGGACTGGGCCTGAGGCTAGTCTCGGGCTGGCATACTTTGAGACCAGGCTCAGACTGCGCCAAAGGGGCTGGGGCTGCTGGATGACTTGGGGCCAGACGCGAGCAGGAGGTCAAGGCCTGGCCAGCCTGCCTCAGTCCGGGGCTGGGGCACGTCAGAGAGGCTTAGTAGCTGGCATGGCTTGGAGTTGGCTGAGGCCTGACCTTGGCACGCTGGCTGGTGGGCTGGGAGCTGGGGGCCGGCCTAGTGGCTGGCATGCCTGAGATGCGCCGGGCCTGGGCTGGGCAGGGTGGGTTGCTGCAGCCGGACTACGGGCTGGGCTGAGCTGTGCTTGGGCGGGTTGCTGGATGGGCAAGGCCTGTTTCATACACACTTGAGGCTGGGTGGCGAGTTGCTGGCTGGGCTGGGCCTGAGGCCAGTCGCAGACACGTAAGACACGCCAGCAGGCGGGCTGAGGGACTGGGCCTGAGGCTAGTCTTGAGACCAGTGTCAGACTGCGCCGAAGGGGGGGGCTAGACGCGAGCAGGAGCACGTCAGACAGGCTTAGTAGCTGGCATAGCTTGAGACCAGTCTCATGGTGGGCTGGGAGCTGGGGGCCGGCCTAGTGGGCCTGCTAGGCCTGTTTTGCCTGAGGCTGGGTGGGCTGGGCTGACAGGCCTGGCCAGCAGGCGGGTTGCTGGTTGGGCTGGGCCTGAGCCTAGTCTCAGACACGTCAGACAGGCCTGGCCAGCAGGAGGTCATGCTTTTCAGGACAAGAAAGCAGTTTTTTTAGTGGAAATTGTCAGAATGGAGCTGGACGCCGACGAACCCCGAAAATTTCAAGGCCCGCCGGACAGGATTTTGGGCCAGCCGAGGGGGTTGGGGGAGGGGAAAAGCAGATTCTCTTTGGAGAAGAGATCTGAGCGCCCTTGGCCCCTTTGGGGCCGAGGCGAATTCCTAAGGTGGTCTTTCTAGATTTCATGGTAATTGTCACATGCCTTTTGCCCTGGCAAGGCCCTCAAGGGAAACATTCTGATGGGAAACTCCTGGGAGCATTTGAGCCCGCCCGCGCGGAGCTTCGAATTGGTGAGAAGGTGCCTAGCCACAACGGTGACATGCGACATGGTGAAAAGCCGGGTCGGGTTTTTGTCTCCAAGTGGGGAACCCCAAAATTGACGGATTCTGGTGAAGTGACCAGGAGACCAGGAGGTTCGCAAACAAGTTTGTGAGAGTATACACACATATACTTGATAGATATCTTTGGTTCTGGAATGATCACCACCCACTCCGTACTGGGACACCTGAAAAGAATCTGATGAAGATCCGTTTGCTGGGATGGGCGATTCTGGAATTCCTCGCTTGAGATGACGCTTGACATTGAACATAGCCTGTGAGCGCCCAGTTCCTGCCATGGAGTATGGACGCGGATGTGAAAGTTCGTGGTGTCACAAAGGCCAACCAGTCCTTCGAGCCAAACTCCCAAAACAGTTTGCCGCTGGTTTTGCAAGAATTCGGACCCGCTGAGGGTTGTTAGCATTGCTCTCCATGCCTTGTGATGTCTATGTGCAGAGTACCTTCGTGACTGTAATCCATTTCCTGTAGCTTGGTCATTTGCCTCAGACTAGGATCCGGCCCTGAATTTGATGGGCTGACAATGTCAGGGCATTGCAGACAGCTGAGGTTGCAGATATCTAGAATCCAAATAGCTGGGATGTCTCCTTGACCTCTTTGTATTGAGCTTAGTGACAAGTTGTGTCTTTCGGTGCAACACACTTGAGGCGTTTCCACACTCGACAGCGCAATTATTAGCTTGGCTATCATTCTGTCGCGAAGGGGCGATGCCAAGCGACATCCTGCAGCTATTTAGTTTAGTCTCGAAAAGCTTAGTCAAGGACACACATCCAAGCAGCAAAAGGGATGCATGAGGCCGCGTGATCTTTGGACAAGATCTGTATTCCATGTACAGCGCCCCTGTAGGTCAGGAGCACCCAAAACGCTACACTACAGCCTAGCAGACCAACCAACTTTTGAAGCAGAGGTGACGAGGCTGGATGTCAGTGCATCAATGGCCCGCTCTGAGTTCAAGCACATTGGCAAAGAGCTCAGCATGGCGCAGCACTGACACTTACCTAACAAATACATGCGTGTGATACTTACATGTGTTTGGATGTTAATGGGATGCAAGCTTTTTTTTGGCATTTTCTGCATGCGAAGGCTTGCCTTTGCATGTCCAATCTCTCAGGTGGAAACAGAACATTGGTGTCGCAGAGAGAGCCTGGCTCTTGGGGATTTGGGGTGACAGACGCTGGGATGGGTCGCAGCTCACGCTTCGTGTCTTGGCTTTTCCTTTCATATCTCCCCCGCCTTGGGTCCGTGGTCGATCAGCTCGATTTTCAATTACAATTAAACTCCTCCATTCAGGGCTGGTTCCAGGATTGGCAAGGTGTCGCAACACATTGCACAGCGACGGGGCGGAGAATGCTGATATCGCTTTGTCTACTCAACACAAGCAACAGCTTATATGCTGATTCAACGACAAAAACTTTCAGGCGATCACGGGATGCTAAAGCGACAACAAACATGATAATTATTCCTTTCAGACGAGGCTGGTGGACCAGCTAGCTGCCCATTCCATAGCCCACAGCATTGGAGAAGTATGGAGGAAGGAGAAGATGGGGAGTGCACCACAGGAATCCAGCTTGTATTATCAGATAGGGTCAAAGAAGCAAACGAGAGAAAGGCAATAATCGGAACAGCTCGTAGCAACGGATCAAGTGATTTTTGTCGATTGGGGTCCCTCGATTGGGCTTCTGTCGAGTTGGACAGCGACCTGGTGGTCCCACCCATGATTGTCCCGTTGGGGCTTTTGCTATGGAGACAAGACAGTTTTGTTGGAGGACACCCGGTCAAAAGCTTGTTTTGAGCAAAAAAAACAAAGATCACTTCCTCCCCATTCCTGGAGCTCCTGCAAGACCCAACACACGGAATCTGATTCATTTGTTGGATCCCTGGGTCTTATTCCAAAACATGCGTAGAACTTCTTTTATCTGAATTTACCACTTCAAGCTTGGATGAGCAAGCAGGGACAAATGAGCAGCGTTCAAAACCCCGATGACAGAAGTTAGTAATGGTGTTGTCCTGCGAGTTGCTGCGCGAAAGGAAAGCACGGCAGAAATGGATGCGAGGAATCATGTTCGCCAAAGGGGCCGCGAAAGGAAGATGTTGAACACTGGGTTGCTTGCTAAACAGTCTGCGAAAGCTCCACGAAAAGGTTTCTTGGCCCAATGTGCTCCGCGAAAGGAAAGCTCTGAAGTGCGCAAGATTCGCGAAAGGCCGCGAAGGGTTCGCGAAGGCAGACGTGAAATACAACATCGTGGAACCCAGGTTTGGACCACCGCTCAAATGAACTCTACTTGTTTGACACGGCAACATATACACAACACCAGGCGCAACCTGCGTCCAGGGAGGTGATTCTTCGACTGTTTGTCTCTATCGCTGTGATTGGTTTGTTAGATGTGTGAGTTGTCAGACCAGAGTATTTGACAAAGCAGCATTTACAACTGTCCACAATTCTTAAGTGGCCGATGGGATCGCACGAGCAGAAATATGGTCGGCCTGTCACGAACAGCCAGAATTGACCAAGTTGAGATCCATTGCAACATTTCAACCTACTATTGCCAGGAAAGATATATAATACACTTGTGCTGGCAATGGTAGGCTGAGATATTGTCATGGCAGTTGGTGCCTCTTGGCATTGCTCTCTTGCGCCAAACAACACGTTTGGTGTGCTTTCGCATGTGGATTGGCTGAGCCGAGTGTAAGGCCTGCGGGAGGAGTGCTGCCATCCCTGGAAGGCCTGCTCCATGACTTTGTGGCCAATTGGTTCAAACGGCAAGAGCCAACCCCTCCAAACAACGGCAAGCAGTAAATTTACTGTTGGCTGCTCCAAACAGTTGGTTTGCGGTTGGTTTTCTTTTCCGACTGTCCCTGAAGCCCAAAGGCCTCCCAGTTCTGACCCAGGATTATAGGGTCAGCTAACTTGGGGCCGCAGCCACATTCGCGCGTCTTGCGTACAACGCGTTCACTGGAAGATCTTTTTCATGGACGTGAAGATGTGTTCACCACCCAAATCCATACCCCTTCGATAAGGGGTTGGGGGTTGTTGCTTTTGGGGGTTGTTGTTTGGGGGGGTTGAGTTGTTGTTCTTCAAAACCTTGTTCAACAACCCCCCCTTGTCAAACAGCACCCCCCTTGTTAAACAACATCCCCCGCCTTGTGCGCAGATTAGGACAAGCAGACTCTGCCCACCGCCGCATTAAATTTAAGATGTGTGTCGAATTGTCGCAGAAAAGCTTCGGAGTTGGGCTGGGCACTCGCAATTGTTGCAAGCGGATTGGAGTGCCAGGTGGCAGCAATGGTCTCAGCTTTACACCGCCTGCCACCGAGAATGGGCGCATCGATGTGCTTGACCCTTGAACAGATTTGTTCACATATTTTTATAAAGTTGCCGTAAGGGCCTTTGTGCAGCAGGAGTGGTAACAATGACAGATACTGTGGAACAATGGCCAGACAACATATAAACACTGACAATTTTTAATTTGTCCATCCCGACAGCACGTCTATTCAGGTTTTCTCTTACAGATCTGTCTATTCAGGTTTTTCTCTCACCCATATTGAGTTTTTTTCAAACACAAGTCTGTCTATTCAGATTTTTCTCTCACCCATATTCAGGCTTTCTCTTACAGATCTGTCTATT